TGGTTAAAGCAGCACTGCGATGTGCTGTATTCCCTCGGGGGGTGGTCGCCTGCTTAAACAAAGCTGGCTGGGGATTACGGCTTGGCATCGCGATTCTCGGGCAAAACGCCATGTCCTGTTGTGGAGCAAGTGCGATCTGTGCATGCTTTTGCTTGGGGACAGCGACGCACGAGTCTTGATCGTAAATTGAGTGTAATCGGTTTTATAGAAATGTTTCATTGTCGGAACATTAGCGCAAGGCACATACCCCGTTGCCCAGCTCGTAAAGAACCAGCCTGCATCCCGTTGCTTCGTAATGTGCTGTGAAATTTAAATGCCCGTTTAACAAAGCCTTTTTGTGCTGGAAATATTCTTTTCTAGGGTAAAAATTAGGCATTGCTAGTTGGCCGTTTAGTGGCTCCTTTTTTGGTAATGTTATAATTTAAAACCCATCAGATGTATTCGTAAGTGGGAGGCGAACGCTGGGCATCAGGCATTTTTCGGATGGCTTGCATGCCCAGTATACATGCGCACACATACACACACTTCAACCCGTGGGTGGCTGATTCACAAACGCAGGCTGAGCTAGAACTTTCCCCTCCCCCGCACACTCCCCATTTACACCTGCATCCTTCCTCTATCCCTTGCGGCCGATATTTCTTTTACGATGTTTTAATTAACGAAAAAATTGTGCTTATTCGCAAAAAAATCCCCGGCAGTTATTGCACACCCACTATATATGCATGATGGATGGCGGTAGCATCCCCTTGCGGGATGCTATTGTGGGATGCTACTGCCATTCATCAAGCTTATATAGTTTTAGCGACATCCCTGTGCATGGGAAACTAAAAACGAAAAAGCAAATAACGCCAGTCGCTCACTTACGATCTTTCCGCGCACACACTCGTTTCCGCCCAGGTGGCCATGGAGATGCTGCTGACGGGCGAGCCCATCTCGGCGTCCGAGGCGCTGGCGCACGGGCTGCTGAGCCGTGTGGTGCCGGTGGAACGTCTCGACGGAGAGGTGGAGCGCGTGGCGCGCTCGGTGTGCCGCCTGAGCCGCAGCGTGCTCGCGCTGGGCAAGCGAGCCTTCCTGGGCCAGATGAGCCGCGACTGGGACGCCGCGTATGCGCTAGCACAGGCCGCAATGCTCGATAATCTGCAGCTGCCCGACGGCCAGGAGGGCATCAGGGCGTTTGTGGAGAAGCGGAAACCTCAGTGGGAACCGGTGCCCGGGCCTGTTCATGAGGGAAGTGGTCGTGGGGATGGCGCCAGAGATTGAGAACACCCCCACCCCACCAGTGGTGTCATAGGTATTGAATTGGTATCTCGAGTTCTGGGTTGAAGCATTCTGGGTGCCCCTGTAGTGGCGAATAAGAATAATAGACATGCCTGGGGACTCAGTGTCTCTGTGCTAAAACTCTTGAGGATGGGTTCCTTTCTTTCGTGGCCCATATTGGCATCGTGGGGTGGAGCGGTGGCGCATTGGGGAGCGCACCACGTAATGAAACCAGTGTCATAAGTTCAGTTCCCGGCCATGGTTAACATCGGTGGCGATCGACGTTTGAACTGCTCCTGCGCCCCCCTTGTCTAACCCGTGCATACAAACCAGGTCTTTATCCAATTCTGGGTAAAGAAAGGGCTGAAATATATTCAGAGCTTTGCTATCCGATTATTTAAGTTACTGACCATTATTCAGATATATCGGTTAATTTACACCTAATCGAATAACACAAAAATAATTGGAAAAAAGTCTCACCTCTATTTCCATTTGTGCCGCTGGTCGGGAGGTTATTGGCGAGGCTTGGTGATGTCATCGGCATCATCAGTCTCTTCGCACTGGATGTGGCCTTGTAGGGGGTTTCCTGCCTTCAGGAAGCAGGATATCGAGGTGGTGCTATCTTTATAAAGGGGTTCCAAGTAATTGACCACAAAACACTAGTCGATTATAACTTTAAGCCGATTAATCAACTTATTCTACAATTCGTACTGGCTCTAATACTTTCAGAATTAAATGTAATGGCTTGGTAGCCATTTGAACTGTTATAGGTACGACAGCCCTTGTTACACAGCACTGAACCCACTCGGTTTAAACCCCCTCTCTCTCTGGATGTATTTCCAATTGTTGTGTCTATAGGTACTGAGCCACCACCTTGAAATTCTGGCTTCAAGCCATTTGGAAAACGTAGATTGAATTATTGGTTCTTGTCATACAAATATATGTTAAAAGACTTGTGGTATTGCCATCTTATACAGTTAACATTGATCAAGGTTCACCGTGAAAGCTTTTACAGTATTTGGCAGATACACACAGGCCAAATAATCCCATCAGCATAGGTGAAGACGTTGCAGGCTAATGTGTCGGTGGACCCTTGCAGGAGGAGATAGTCACTGATGGCTCTTCCAGAGTTGTTCTCCGACGTCATATACAGCTCCTCTGCTGCTTTCAGGGGAATCGGGAATTACGATTTTGATTAAAAATATCTCCACACTGTGCCCAGACTCACCAAACAGTGCAGATGGAATTAAGATGCTAAATGCAAAAAAATAAGTGCTTTAATGTTGACCTATGCACCTGTGACTTATTCATATGTAGCCTTGGGGTATAATTAACTGCCCGTTTACATTTTGAATTTTATCCGAGCTATCCAACATTGAAACCATGCGCCGGTTTCAGTCTTATTGCAGGATCATCGGCACATTATATCCAAACCTCAAATCGAGTTTTATTTTTAAAAATTGCCTTTTAAACTGAGGCTGCCATGTTTTGTCTGGTTTATGATTCTCAATGAGAGAACATTTTCTTCAGAAATATTTAACATCTGCCGTGCGCAATGAAAACCAAGTGGCCTATTGAGCAGGTGCACACATCTTAACCTAACTTTGTTGAGTAATTTAACACGAATGCATTCATACGTAAAAAAATACACTTGTGGAGTGTTGTGCCTATAAATGTATGGACCCCACCTAAAATGCATTTTTAAAAGGCGATGTTTCAAATGCAACAGAATCACGGTGATTCAAAATTCTGGGAGCGAAAATGGATGGGATATCTATGTAAAATACAGCTGGTTTGCCCTTGAATTGTAAATTGCACGAAAATCCTAAAATAATGCCTGGAGAATATTGTAAGGTGATCATTTCTGGTAAAACAATATTGTAATATTCAATTGGTGAAGTCAGCCTAATTAACTTTCTATCATCACTTTTTATTGATAAAGCTATCTATGCCCACAACACATTGCCTGGCATCTTGACGATGCCTGTCCATAATTGTGTGACACTGTGTTACATCGGTGTTCTCGTGGTGCATTTTGTGATCTACGAGTTGTGTATCGATCCAACACACCTGCACAATATAATTCTTTTGAAGTACCATCAAGCAACGTGGCCTTGTTTTAACTACATATATGTTTACTGATTTAAGTCTGAAATAAAAATGTGTACCGTACTCTTATCAAGTTCTAAGTATTAATAAAATATAGTAGTTTAAAAGTGAAAAAGGGGTTGGGACTGATCATTATTTTATCACTCAATTGAGCCGATGTGCAAATGCTGGTGCTAATTCTACTCCAAACCCTGCTGCTAACCATATTCGTTGTCATAACCTTACTCCTGAATTTAGACTTAACCATCACCTTTACACTCAAGGTCACCATGGCTGATGCCACTGAATACTACAACACCGACCTAAAACTTGTCAGATCCACAAAATATTATACAGTCAACGCCTGATTCTCCAAAGATGGCTCGTACAGTATCTCACCAACTCGCTTTAGGTCTTCGTTTTGGTTATTTTTAAGCCCATCCTGATTGCTTTCTTTTCAGTAAAATTTCCATTATCTAACCCTGCTTTCATTAACTTCAAAGTATGCATGTTATGATCACGTCGCCTTCCCCAGAGGTTTTATAAATTGTCTATGTTCTCATATCACTAAAGTAATTTGATCCGGCATCGGAAACTAAATTTTTTTAAGCAGGTTCAATTATTTCAGATCCTGGCCAGTGTGGACTCTCATGTTATCTCAACAATATTAACGATGATCAAGATGCGCCTTGGACATTGGCCGATCCCTGAAAATCCTTCAGCTCCGCTCCCATAGTCTATGAGCTCAGCGCAAATCTTTCACTTGTCACCACCACCCTAGGTGGCACCACTTTTGCAGTTTAAATGTCTTTATGTGGACAACAGTGAATTACGTGTTAATCATTAGATATGAGTGGGGTTTTCAAATAATTCACTATTAGACAAATAAACGAAACTGTATGACGAAAGTCGTTCTGCCTCAGGTGATACCGATTTCTGCCTTGGCCCATGCATATGATGGGATAACACTCAAAGCTCCACACATTAAATGCACACAGGTAGACCCAAGAGATTCAATCTACCAGTGGACCACAATGATTGTACTGTCTTCACCTGGCCATCTTGCAGGACTTCCGCAAGCAGCACATGGTATGCGCTAACCTAAACTTTAAAGTTATAATTTTTAGCCAGGTAAAACACACTGAGCTCGAGAGTTATTTTTCAGAAGCGACCTGGCCACAACTGATTGCTCAACGATGTGGCTTGATGTGGAAATGTATAGCAGCCAAATACTCTAAAACAAATGTTTATAATTGTGGAGGGAAAAACCGGAGGGCCCACAGAAGAATCCAGGTGTCCATGGGGAGAACATGGAAACTTCAAATATACAGGCGTCGGGATCGAACCCACTCCCTGTAAACCAGGCGAGGGGACATCTCGCCAACGTGGTGCCCTGCGGTTACCCATACAAGCACTCGAAAGGCTTCAGCCCCTTATATTAAAAAAAAGTGCTTTCTGGGTTATTTGGTTGTGGATTAGTTTGTCTGATGCCCATAAATGCCATAAAGCTTTGTCAACAAAAAAAGCCATTTGCAATCTCAGAGAAAAGGCAACTTAAGCATGGCATTGCCAGATGAGGACCGGAGTCTTCAGGCCACATCCTCACCTCCTTTGCTAAGCAAACCTTTTTTAAATAAACATAATGGAGGCAAAAGTGTCGAAATAAACAAAACGTGTTTTTTATTTTAAACATAACACACCATTTTTGTTACATTAAACAGTGCTAAATTTTTTTAAAATACTGTACATGGTTTTTTTTTTATTTACTTTCGTATCAACAACCTTTTCTTCTACCGTTGCTTCGATTCCTACCCAGTAAAAGCACACTCCTTCCTTCCTTGCTGGGTTGGTCACGAGACTACAGGGGTAGGGGGCTAAGAAGGGGATTAGGAGACATTGGGGGCAGAGTGGAGGGGGTGACGTCACATTGGAGGAGAGCAGGGAACACTAAAGTTATCAGTTGAGAATGGGTTGGTGTTTCAAAAGCAAGGCCCAACCTAAATCAGTCATCATACAAATGTTATTGGTCGTAGAATTGCAGCTCTTGAAGGCATCTCAAATGCCCATCTGATCACACACTGCTCTCATACTGCGCACACATTGCATCTCACCTTGTTTACCAACCTCCGAAGGTCAATGATTGGCAAACATAAGCATATGGACTGTGGGCAAATGTGACGACTGCACCTTTTCACAACTAGAAATTTAAATGCAATACATTTACATGTTTTCCAAAAAGTTGTCCTTATGTACAACAATGGTAAAATAAAACAATCGACGAGTTTTGTTGGTTTTCAACAGCTGTTGAGGTATACATAAGCTGTCTGGGTTTTCATCGCAGGGCCCGAACCCATCCATACCTCTGATAACTTTTTTTACACTAGAACTCAGCCGTGCCGAGCCAACCCAGCGCTGGTCAGGAAGCGCCAGATTGTTTTTCCACTGCAGAACCCGAGCCTTGCTGCGGACGTCACACACATGCAATTTGACATCATGTGCCGTGCTCGACCCTGCGAGACCCTAAACTAGATTAATCTTTCTTGTGTGGGCTAGCCTATCACGGTTTGGTGCTGGCTTGGCATGGCAAAGAGCCAGTGGAAAACCACCTGTACTGGGAGAGCATCGCTCTGGCTCGGGTCATGTACCAGTGGAAAAGCAGTGAATTAGGTCCTGGGTTCAAACCTTGTAGCTGGTGGACTCAAGAGGGCCGATGTCAATGTTAGTACACTGAGCAAGCATTTTTGAGATCCTGGGTTTGAGCACTTGCTGAGTGTCTGAAAGAAAACGAATTCCCATGTCAGGGCACACTCAGCCAGAGTCTCTTGAAGGCTCAGCCTGGTTGGTCACCAATCGACTGCACCAACATTCATCACATACAGGAGTAATTGCACTTCATATATTCAGGCCTACCTATCAAGTTTTCAAATGGCCCGTGGATAAATATAAAACGATTCACTTATCTGCACAACGTTGAGCACCACATTGCAATCCTCAGCAAGACAGACCATTTAAGGACCATCGTTTTTTTGGGGGTTAAATCGCGTAAATATAAATGTGTCGTTAAACCCGCCACCACCCGACACAGCCAATAAGTAAGGTTCGTCACGTAAACAAAACGTGCCAATTCATTACTAGTTCAGCACACCGGTGTGTTTGAGAGTAAACCCACAACATGTACAATTCAAGTACGATGTTTCGCCGGTAATAACAACCAGCATCGGGTTTTACGACACGTTTATACTTAGGCAATCTAACCCCAAAAAAGCTTTTATGGACAATATTGCTCGCGAAAGCCTACGTGTTAAACATTTAAGGACATTGGATCAAAATCTGTGACGTTAATGCTCTGCTGTCTGTTGGCAATTCTAAATAAAGTTACACGTTTTTCCTCAGTACCTTAATAAACATAACGAAAAACAAATATCAGTAAAAAACAGCAACAGGAAAATAGCAACATTTGTAAGAGGGGCAGTGAAAACGTATAAAGGTTCTTTGATATTCAAGGAATTTCATAAGCTGACATTTAATTTAGCAACTACTTACATGAATTTTTTTTCTTAAATAATACCAGCTCATAAATCAATGCACTAATTCTATAATTATTACATTTCCATGGAGTCTATCTTTGAAGTGTCCATGTGGCTTCGAAGACAAATGCTATTTCCAGAGCACTGAGTCGGCACCGATGAAAATCCGAGCGTTCAGATCCGTGTTGGTACAACAATGATTAAACCAGGACCCTCCAGTAGTGTAGCAGGTAGGAATTGGACACAGATGAGAGAGAAAACGCCAACTATATATATAAGTTCAGTTCTGTAGTCCTTTACCAAGATAATGGATTTCTAGTAAAACCTGGATTTATGTTTTGTAATAACATTTTTTATCAGGGCACCATGGTGTATGAGGCAGTTATCAAATATTATTGACTCAATTCCTCGAGCTTCTCTATATGAAGGGCTATTCCGCAAAAGATCGCCTGCTAGATACATCTATGTTTTTCCTGCTCGGGCAATATTTTTGACGGATGGTTTTGAATTCTGTATTGAAAGAAGCAGGAGGTAAATTTCGGGAGTTGTGTCTGGTAAGAGTGGAGGCAGACTGTGTTGTGCTAACGAGTCCTAGTCGGGATGCAACCGTTCGAAAGTTGTCTATCACTCTACCACTGCTGCTCTAAGCCGGGCACATTTGCGCACATTTATTTTGACGGTGACCTAAGGCAAAGAGGACCACAATGCACTTCTTTAGGAAACTCTCAAAGAGTTTTTTTTTTCATATGCACAGCAGCTGTGTGCGCTTTGTACACATTTGTGCATGTCGTGTGAAACGTTAAAGAGCGGTTGCTCAAAGTTGAGGGCATATATGTTGAACGTATTTCAACATATATGGCCTCGAACTCGCTCGGCAGTGCTCGCTCAGTGCTCTGCCACAGGCAATTTTCCTGTTGTGTGCTTTTGTCTTTGTGCACTTTTGACAAATCGTTCCCGAAGCCGCCTTTTCAACTGCCCCTTGTCATCTTTCACTTCCATCACCTAATGCGTTTAATTAGCTGCCTCATTAATTGTACTTCATGGCTGCACGCTACGAATTGTCCACATCGCGGACTGGTAACGTTAGCTGTCCATTCAGCAAGCTCTCTGTACAACTATCCATCAAGCCGCGGAGCACGCTTTCAAACCTTTCATTTGAAATGTTCACCACCTTTCCATTTCACCGTTACTCTGACCAGCGAAGATAATTCAAACGAGGTGTTCACTTCATCGATCGGCAGGTCACGTGCTGTTGGGTAAAGCGTGAATACGGACACCTCTTCCAGGACGTCTGGCCGGCAAGGAAGAGTCAGCCAAATACCCTCCACATGGGCTCTTGGGGAGGCCCTTCCATCACCAGTTGTGTTTGAAACTTGCAGGGTTGCACCCTTACCTTTTCACTTAGCCATCCACCTCACCGAATGTCTGTTCACTCGGTGAACCTGGAATAGCTGTCCGCAGAGCATGCACGCAGTTGTGCGCAAAGGTATAAAATATGAATAATGCTGCCCGTCCCACACAATGTCCATTTCGTTTTCCACAACACAGACTTATCAATACATTTCAGCCGTGCATAGACCACGCAATCTGATGTCCAAGCATCAAACCAGTAGCTCCTCCATTATTTAGTCCATCATAATGATGGTGATCTTCATCATCATCGTCGGCTGTGATCCACTAACTGCTGGATGAAGTTCACCCCTCACTCCCAACCAAGACGTCCCCATCTCTCAGGATTGTGAGACGTATAAAGATCCCTCCAGTAGCTGCGCTCCATCTGCAACGAGCTCGTGTGCAGGTGGACGTCCTCTCGGCCACATCCCCCTCCCCCCCTCTCCGTCTTGTGCAGTCCGCTTCTGAATAAATATCCACCAATCGCTCACTTGCGTCCATGCTGCTGCTGCTGCTGCAGCATACGAGCAGCGAGGGTAGCATGCAGTGCAGCGAGCACCCCTCCTCCCCCCCCAGCTCCCCCGCCCACCCCGCTGGACCCCACTCGCCCCGCTCTCCCTGTCCGGCCTCCCCGGCCCCCGCGGCCCAGCACCAGCGCCCGGAAGGCATCCTCGCCGGACAGCAGCGATGGCATGTGCTTGAGGAAGTATCCCTCGCAGAACACAGCCAACTGACCGGCGCCCACCTTCTGCAACCGTGACAGCAGCGGCAGTAGAATCAGCAGCAGCATCAGCAGCAACATCAGTAGCAGTAGCAACAGCATCATGAGCAGCAGCAGCATAAGCAGCAGTCATAGCAGTATCAGCAGTATCAGCATCAGCAGTATTAGCAGCAGTGGTATCAGCAGCAGCAGTATCACCAGCATCAGCAGCGGCGTTAATAATAGTATCGCACTTTGGATTATACTACCGTTTGGGTTTTTTGCGGTTGTGCCGGACTGAGCGTCGTTGGGCACGTCGTTCGACGTTTCGCCCCACGCGCTGGGAGCTTCGTCGAGAACCTTCTGTTGAAGGGACCGACGAAGTTTCTGGGGCCTGGAGCGAAACGTCGGACCTAGTGCCAAACGGCTTCCATCGTGGCTGGTGGTGGCGATATTTTAGTTGTTGAGCCTGATTTCATTATGTGCAGAGTGGTCGTGTAGCAGGTGAGCGCGCTGCACTACGAACCTAGTGACCCGAGTTTGACTCACGGCCAACACCAGTGACGATTATCTGAACCGGTCCTGGGCCTCCCCTAGGTGGACTCAGCCTCAAACGAGTAGTACCTAGTGCGGTGTGTAAAAACATCGCCACTGGGTAGACAAAGGCAGTCGGGCGTGGTGTTAGGCTACCCACCCACTCTCGTGTGCCATACCGGCCTTCATAGGGGCTCGCTAACAGCACTCGCCCCAACAGCCTGCTAAGGCTACACGGGGGATATTCCTTCGTCTTTTTTGTTGCCGTTATGTGGTTGGCCGAGTGGTTGCGCGTGCCTTGGCGTGACGGTAAAGGCCCGCAGCGTTGCTGTAGGAGATGGCGCGGGAGCAGAGTTGCTCGCAGTGGAGCTGCAGGGCGTCGAGCTGGAAGAAGCTGGCAGCCGACATGAGCTGCTCACGCGCGCGCAAACGGGTACACAGGCACGGAGGTCAAGAGGTCGTCGAGATCGATGACGACAATAATGCCGTCGCCAACACTCGCTTCTCAAATCACCTCCTCGTGGCACACATTGTCACGATAAAAGGCGACCAACGTACAATCATACAATAACAAACATCCCCTGTATAGCCTTTAACAGACTATTGGGCAAGTGCGGCTAAGCGAGCACCTGTGAAAACCGGCATGGCATACGAGAGGGTGGCGTGGTGGTGTTTATACACCGCTCCAGTTACGCATTTAAGGTGATATGAACCGAGGGGAGGGCCAGGACTGGTTCAGATATCCGTCACTGATGTTGGCCACGAGCGGGAAGGGAATTATCAAAATCCACTGTCGACCAGGACTTGTATATTCCCCCTCCTTCACTAACCTGCACTGGCCAGCTGACCAGTGTGGAGAAGTACGGCCAAACAACCCCCACGTCTGACATGGCATGAGGAGGTTTTCATCCGCCAGTGGCTTTATGAAAGGTCAGTGAATTACTATTATTGTTTTATAAGTCCCATCCAATCCCTTTCCAGTGGAGTTATTGGCTTAATACTCATAATTAAGAATCTAAACAGATTTCTTAAACTCGGCCATCTCTACCGTATTATATTTCAACATCGGTGTCTATGATACACAACTGATAGTTGCGCGTTTTTACCGTTTGTGCGGCAATATCACAAAACCGCACGCACACACATACAATGACGTATACACAAGACAGGTGGCACGAGCCACGCTGTCAATGATGCAGTTCTGCTCTCCTTTCCTTACCTCCAAGATGTCTTCGTCCGCTATTTTGACCTCCTCCACGCCACCGTAATACACGTACCGCATTAAGAGCTGTGAGACACAACAGAGCGCATTGTGTAAGGTTACATTTATAAATGTATTTTTGCCTCTAGTGGGGGTCCTTCTGCCAGCGGTGCGTCTGCACGCGTAGGGCAGTCTAGCGGTTCCATAAAAATCTGTCCCGGTGTCCTGAAGCTTTTCGTGAGATCCCAGACTTTGTACCCTCAATGCATACATACTTGTACAATTACATGCGCACATATCAACAACACGTGACTGCTGACCCACCTCGAGGATGTGGTATTTGATTTCCCCGATCTCAATGCTCCGACACTGATCCACAGAAGAGCCCCCGCCGGTCAACAGAGCCTTGAATCTGTACGACAGACGAGGCGCGAGGTTGTGGTTATGAAATATGCAGCACGTCGTTTTTATTTTCCGTTTACTGTCTCATCGTGAGAAAAGTCAGGCACAGCGATTCGCAGGTGCTTGGCCTCCCAGGGCAGAATGAACGTGAGGTGCGCGATTGGACGGGAGTTGCGCGACCTCGTGGCAGCGGCGGGTGTCTTACCGTGGCGAGGCGGTCACGAGCAGCACCTTGTGGGCGTAGAGAGGGCGGCCCTCGGCTATGAACGTCACGTCCGACATCTCCCGATTGTTGACGAAGTGCGGGTCTGCGAGCGCCCACGGGTTGCGGCGGGAGAGTGGGTGTCGGTTAAGTGGCGTCAGCCGCACCGCGAAGATTCCGAGACCGAAAATGTGGGCTCCGGCCAGCAGATGGCAGTGTTGAGCATTGCCTCCCTCCCCCCTGCCTTCATATACACTGTGGTGGATTTTCTCCGGGCTCTCTTGGTTTTTTTTTTGGGCTCCGACGCGAGGGCCAAACAAATCAACTGACGGAAACGGCCAAACATCACCAATGCAGGACCCTCTTTGAGAATGAGTCTTGAGAATCAGTGAGGCTTTACCCAGGTTAAGGTAAGCTACGTTAATTTACACACACGAGCAACGTCCAATAAACAACAAGCGCCAATGCTTCGTCGTGAGAATGAGTAGCCCCCACTCGTTTCAGTCTTTGTGAACTACCGGGATCCCCAAGTCTCTCTGCATTCAAACTCAGATGCGTGTGAGTTTGTACATCTCGAGATTATTCATCAGTGGACCGGAATATCGCAACGGTTTATACAGAATGTGTGGTGTACAAAACTTTGAACCTGACGTCATAGGTGACAAAAATAGCGTGGTGTCCTTGTAAAAGCCTCACGTTCTAGGACTGGGCTCCAGAAAGTAAAACAGTTTCTATACCTGGCTAGCACCACGCCCGGCAGCCTTTGTCTCCCCAGTGGCGATGTTTACACAACCACACCAGGTGCTCATTCGCAGCTGAGTCGACCTCGGGGAGGCCCAGGACTGGTTCAGATTATAATCGTCACTGGTGTTGGCCGTGAGCGGTGAATCGAACCCGGGTCGCCGGGTCCGTAGAGTAGCGCGCTAACAGCTACACTACCGCAATATAAGTTCAACACACACACACGTACACGCACGCACGCACGCGCACGTACCGAGCCGAGCCCCCAACGGGGTGTGGTCCTCGGGGATCTGGGGCACAGGCTGCGGTCCGTAGCACTGGCTGAGGATGTCGGCGACTCTCTGCGTGATCGCCTCGTTCTGGTCGTTCACACGCACGCGCGCACACAACGAGCAGACGCAAAAGCCACGCATAAAAATAAAGCACGCGCGTTTTACGAGCACAGAAATGATCATAACCGCGCCAGGTGACAGGGAGCTTCCGGCCTGTGCCTGGCAGGCGACACCATGCCACATGGCCCACGGCCACACGAGGTCTACCACTTCGAAACGACATGCAAGCGATATTGAACCTTGATTTGAAGCTTTCGTGACCTGCAGGAATCCAAACTCTTATATTTAACCGTTGCTGCGAGCGCCTTTAGCTGGAGGAAATGGGTACTGAGAGGAGGGGGGGGGGGATAATTTTGACCTGGGCAATGACGTGTTGCTAATTTCCACGTCGAGCTCAGTCACTTATGTCACTGCATTGGCAGAAGTGACTGCGGTAAGTGTGTGTGTGAATTCACGTGTGGCCTTGCCAAAGGTATTTGAAAGTTCTATTCAGCCCTAAGTAGGGAACAGGTTACGCACCCCCTGTTGTACACAAACAAGTTCATTCATACACATACGTGCGTGCTGCGAAGTACACCATAAGAACACCACGTGGTAATTACAATTGTCATCACAGTCTGCACTGATGTGAAACTGTGTTGCATGCCACACGATACACACTTAGTTACTTTTACGTTCATTAAGCAAGCAACTTTATACAATTCATCGCAATCAATTGTGACACAACCTCTTGCAGATTCTTGGGCAAAGTGCAATCAGAGCAGTCTTCACTAACGAATGTGCCCAAAATGAACATACTCTGGCTAAGAAACCCAGATTAACAACAACAATCACTGCCTATGCACCACTGCGTGGTGGTGACGTCACCACGATGCTTGTTCCAGGCTATGTTCACTTTGAGGCCTCATCAAATGGAAGGTTCGCTGGCAGCAGATCACAGGACGGACCCATGTGTTATGCGTTAAGTGATATAGATGACTGGCAGATGCACCACCTGTGCTCCCCACTGCGCCAACTTGCCGTGTTTTAGGCCACCCGGCAGTCTGCTCGTTGTTGCGAGCATCACTCCTCCACCTTCGTTTAATGCTGGAGAGCTGGGCCCTCAAACTGCCCAGCAGCATCTTTTTACGAGCCTCCTCAACAGGAGGTTCCAGTTGTTCGGCAAGTCCAATCAGCTCCAAATCCGCCCGTGCCACATCAGCCCATCGCTTCTACAGCCATTGCCGCGGCCATTTTTAGGCCCCTCTCTCCGGCTCACAACCGCCCAACCTCCCGCAAAGTCTCAGACGAGGCCCTGTCCCGTTCTCTTTAGTTCTCAACCGGTAAAACTAAACCTCACCGCGGTCAGCCACAGATCATCATCACACGGTCACTTGTATACATGGTGCTTCAAAAAAATGTGAACACACCCAAGAATTGGCAACGATACCACAAGAAATGAGGCCTCCGGGCTCTGGAGACCACCTGGAGACGATTCCAGGCACGCGTTGACAACGATGGCGAACAAGTGGAGACTCTTCGACTTTTTGAAGCGATTAACATGCATTTGTTATCGTGTTACAGTGTATATTATTACCCGTTCTTTTCCCATTAAATACGACAGTCCCATATAAGTGTTAACATTTCTTTGAAGCACCCTGTATGTACACACGCGAGCGCGTTGGCGGGCTGAGGTTAACCGACGCCCCCCCCCCCGCCCCCGCCAGCCCATTACCTGCTGGCCTCGCAGCATGTCGAAGAGCAGTGGCAGCCCGCGCGCCAGCATGAGCTCCGTGAAGTGGACGCCGCCGGCGCGCACGCTCGCAAACTCATCGAGCAGCGCCATCGTCACCGCGGAGCGCGACTGCACGCACGACGTGTGCAGCGACTCCAGCCACACGTGCAGCGTCCACGGCACGTCTGCACGCGTGACACACGCAGCACGTACACATCCCGCACACGCCACGGAATGAAACGGCGCACAGAAGATCCCCCCGTACGGCCTCAACGGACACTTGGGGCAAGCAGCACTGTTAGCGAGCAAGTACAAAGATCCCCCGTGTAGCCTGTAACAGAACGTTGGGGCAAGTGCTGTTAGCGAACACCGATGAAGGCCGGCAGGGTGCGCGAGGGGGTGGGTGGGTGGCCAACACCACGCCCGACCGCCTTTGTCTCCCCAGTGTTGATGTTCACACACCGTTAGTGAGCAACACACACACACACAGACAGACACACCAGGCTATGAGAATGATTCTTACCCTTGCCGCGCAGCTCCATGGTGACGTCCAGGTGTCCATGCTCGGCGCTGTGGTACATGGCCTCCTGCAGGGCCCTGACCCTCACCCGTCCGCCCTGACCCTCCACCGAAACGCCCACGCCAAAATCCCCGGGGCCGCCCGCGCCCTCGGCGAGGATCTCCTCCAGCGAAAGCACGTCCTCCTGCTTCTTCTCGGGCTGAGACAGCAGCTTGCGCAGGACGTTCCTGAAATGGCAGCCGGTGGCGGCATCAGTCACGGTCGGCCGACGCATGTTCGACGCTGTGTTCAATTGGTTGTTTTAAACGTACGCGGCGTGTGTTGTGCGTTTTGTGCGTGTGTGTGTGTTGAGGTTTGCACAGCAGAAAGAGTTAATGGCAGCACCGGAGTTGTTTTTTATATTCTCATTTTGCGATACCTTTCACAAGTGGCCGTTGTTACAGGCTAAAAGCTGGAATGTATGAGAATGGTTCTGAGGCTTGTGATATTTTTCAAGCAAAACACATTTATTGAAGTGACACTTTGCACCTGTGAGTGCAGAAACGCTCTGTGTTCTCAGACAACTTGATATTAATTATTCAAACAAAATACACCCATGCATGGTTGCTCTGAATGTACCATATCTGGAAGTAACGTTTTAAGTTCCAGTCGAAAATACTTCGAAGTTATTCAGATTTCGCCTTTGGTCCTTCCAAGTTCAATTTTGATCGGCCTCACCCAGTCGTAGGACATGACCGTACAAAGACATTCTTGTTCATAAGCAAACTCACTAACTCAACTCATGCTCAATGAGTGCGGAACAGTAGCACGTGCGTGTCACTGCAGAGCAGTGGCACGGGGCGTGTTACTGCAGAATGATACGTCAGCATTTGATACCGACCAACACGCAGTACAATCTATAAACACATCGGGAGCAGCTATTCAAAACAACCGCGGAAACCTACGCAGTCCAGAGTACTGCACTGGAGCTCGCGGTCTCGCCTACATTTAGCGCGTTGGCCTCCTGCCCTCACTCAAGCCCAGTCTCACCTGTGCCCATGTGACGCTGCCTGGCTGAAGGAGTTCATGTCCCCTGGAGTGGCGGCGGCGATGCCGTTGCGTTGCACCGTGCTCACGAGCGCGTTGGCTCCCTTCGCCAGCAGGAGGCTCACCAGCTCGTAATTACCTGGCGACATACAAAGAAAGACAAACATTCCCCCGTGTGGCCTTAACAAGTGCTGTGAGCGAGTAGCACCTATGAAGGCCGGCACGGTACATGAGGGGGTGGGTGGCCAACACCAGGCCCGACCGCCTTTCTCTCCCCCATGGCGATGTTTTTACACAACGCACCAGGTGCTCATTCGACGCTGAGTCCACCTAGGAGAGGCCCAGGACCGGTTCAAATAATGGTCACCGGTGTTGGCTGTGAGCGGGACTCGAACTTGGGCCGCCGGGTTCGTAGCGCAGCACGCTAACCCCTACACTACTGCTCCCCCAAAACGTACATACACACACATTTCACACACACACATTTCACATACACACATTTCACATACACACACATTTCACATACACACACATTTCACATACACACACATTTCACATACACACACACATTTCACATACACACACACACATTTCACATATTTTCCATTGCCAACCCGGGAGGCACCGGGTTCGTAGCTCAGCGTGCTAACCGCTGCACCACCGCTCCCCTTACACACACAGACACGCGCGCTTCGCATCACGGCTCAAAACAAAAACAAAAATGCCTGCGTGCGTTGCCAACTCTGATAAAGCAACGGCGGCGTATCTCTGCGCGGCTAAGCACGTTTGTTTCAAGCGCAATCAAGCAACCGCTATGTTGTGGTCGATGAGATGAACTGGACGAACTTCCTCGGGTCGTGATAAAAACATCCAAGAACTCACAGGGAGATTATGACAATGATTGATCCACAGTAATACCACAAGGCATGCGTGTGTGTGTGTGTACTGGGTACCAGGGAACAAAAGAAAACCCAACCACTCACGAAAGAACTCGCCCAGGCACGTTTGCAGATGTTGCGCAGATAGCTACGTCGTCACTGGACGTGTAAGCAAAATCCCCGCAAAGTCAAAGCAAGTGGCGATGTTGGGCTCCAGATGCATTTGAGTTCTCACGTGTCTCTTGCGGCGGCTTCACGTGCGTGCAGGCGAGGGAGTGCGGGCGAGCGTGTGCACGTGTCGAGAGACGCGAAGCAGTCGCCCGCCAATCCCAGCTCTACCATCGCCAGCAGCCAGAGCTACATTCTTGGCTAGGATGCACGATACCCACGTCGATATCGGCTATCCAGCCGGATTATCTAGGTGTGCGTCCATGACAGACGCGGGCACAACGTATGTAGCCAGCCGTGCTAATCGGAGGTGCGGGGAAAGCACAACAAACTAAACACAAAAAGCAGTACTAAATAAATGAGTTTTTAATCTCGCGCGTACACGTGTGGATGACGCATGCGTACGCACAAGTCGTGTGCGTATGCGAAACGCAAAGGGTGCGTGCTCGAGAGATGCACGGACGAGGAGAGTGCTGGGCGCATGCGAGCGAGCTAGCGAGAGAGCCGCGTGCAGGACGTTACTAGGGAGCTGCAAAAATAGTGAGCGCGTCAAGAGGTGTGGACGCATCAGCGGACGTGTCCACCGATATGTAAACATTCATTGAGCCCATGTGAGAGAGGCAGGCAAGGGTATGCGCGCCGTGAGAGGTGTGCGGATGAGAAAGGTGTTCACATCGATGATGGTGAGTGCGCAGGAGGCGCGTGTGTAGGTCGACTCGGCCTCAAATAAGTTCCACGTGCTGTGTGTGTGTAAACGTCGGCACGAGGGAGACAAAGGCGGCCGGGCGTGGTGCTGGCCACCAACCCCCTCGTGTGCCGTGCCGGCCTTCATAGGTGCTACTCGCTAACAGCACTTGCCCCAACAGTCTGTTACAGGCTACACGGGGTGGTAATTGTCCTTGCGTGTCGCGAGAGCGAGCGTGGTGTCACAGGTGGACGTGTACACGGGCGAGGGTTGCGCACGCTCGCTCCACCGACCTGCGGCCGACGCGAGCTGCAGGGGCGTCTCGGCGTAGTTGGGATCGTCCGTGTCCTTGAGTGACCCCTCTACGTTGGCACCGGCCTCCAGCAGCAGCTACCGCAGCACAAAACGTCACGGTGATTAATTACAACCGTTGTCCATAGGCTGCCCATTAAGCGGACCCAAGTTTTGTTGGCCGTGGAAGAGACGATGGGCTGAGTTGCTAGCCTCCCCGACTGAGATACGTATTTATGTTTGCATGCTGAACTTCTTTCACACCGTACGTAGCCAACCATGCTAATCGGCGGTGCAGGGGAAGAACAACAAACTGAACACAAAGAGCTGCTCTAAAGAAACGAGTTTTCAATTCAGATTTAAAAGTGCCTTGCTCCAGTGGCTTCCTTACAGCGGAAGGAGGAGTGTTCTGGACGGCTGCAGAAGCGCTTCTGAAAGCGCGCGATGCGGTGACCACCGTCTTTGAGATGATGGTTAGCCAAATAGCCGCTGAGAGGGGGACCGGAGTTTGCGTGATGGTTTATGCTCCTTGACTCAGAATCAAAATACGTATTTATACTGGAGGAGTCTGATAAGCTATAAAGCTATTTTTCACAGATGACCAGTAGGGGCGGGTAAGAATGTTATAACAATACGAAAACATGATAGGAGTGTAAAGTTCAAGAAAGGTAAACAAATCACCCAAACACATACAAATGAAATTAAACCATTCCCATTGTACAAGGCAAAGCCCACTGAGGTATTAACTTATTTTTCAGAAGCGACCTGGCCACAAATGATATCTCAATAAAGTGGCCCATCATTTGGCCACGTGACCCCTGATGTTACCTGGGCTATGGAGAGGTGCCCGTACAGGGTGGCGAACGACAAAGCCGTCCAGTGCCTCGTGCCCGGGTGCACGGACGGGAGCACGTGGGGGTCTCCCGGCACCTGAGATGTGAACACAGATACGCAATTAAAAACTATCAATTTTTTGTTGTTTTATTTACCAGGTAGTAAGACCCCCAACTGAGCTACTGAGCTCTTTTTCAGAGGCGACCTGACCACGTGTGATGGCTTTAACGAAGTGGCTTATCACGTGGAAATTTACAGCAGCCAAATATCTCTGAACGCGTGTTGATGCTAAATGTGGATGGAAAAACCAGAGAACCCGGATAAAAATCCACGCAATCACGGGCAGAACAACACGCAAACTACAAATATACAGCAGGCATCAGGGTCTGGATCGAAGCCACGACCTCCTGCAGACCAGGCGGTGGTAGTGCGTTCGCCGCTTTGTTGCCGATGTCCACGGCTTCGAATGGGGCGGCCGCCCTGGTCAATGCTGCGGTGAGCAGTAACGAGACAAGAGCCACGTGTCGTCCGCTTCACAGTGGACGTCAGAGATCCCGTGACGTCATCCGTAAGGGTGGCAGGCCATAGTGTGTGGCGGCAGGGTCCAAATTTGTGACTTGTGCAGTGTGTGCTGTGTGGGTGCGCTTGGTCTGCACGGTGTATGCAGTGTGCGCAGCGTGTGTATGGTGTGAACAACGTGTGTGCTGTGCAAGCAAGCACCTCCATGTCCAGCCTCGCGCCGGCGTCGATGAGCATCTGCACCATGGCCTCGTCCCCGCATGCGCAGGCGTACATCAGCGGGGTCATGCCCTTCACAAAGACGAACACACCCGCGGACGCATTAGAGATGTAAAGGACGCGTCGACTCGTCAATTAAAATCGTTTCGTTCGCCCACCATAAAAAAACTAAAAATCGTGTCTGTTAGAATCGAATACCGCACGCTAAATAGCTCTTATCTCAGCTGTGTGTCCCGGGCTGCCCAACACAAGTCTCAACATTCATTGCAGAGATAAGGAGGTTAACGTGCGTTCAGGGCGCGCCATTTAGAGCACCCATCTCCTTCTCCTTTTCCCCTTGGCCGCAACGAGCTACCTGGTCATTGAGCGTGTCGACCCCGGCGGGTCCCAGCAGGGCGATGGCCTGCTTCACCAGGTCCGTGCGGCCGCAGTTGAGCATCCGGAACGCGAGATCCTGCAGGAAGCGGCCCTCGGCCGCCCGGGCGTCGAGACGGCGCCAGGCGCAGAAGCAGTCGTCCGTCCTGCGTTGACGACGCACGCACAGGTAGGCGCGCGTGCACACAGCAATGTGCGCACACCACAGACACACACGGACACCTCTGATTAGCGCGCTTGGCTTCGACCGGTGCGAAAGAAGCATGAAGAATAAGAATATATTTTACCCTTTCTGGCAATAAAACAGGTGTTAAGATGTTCAAACACTAAACAGACACCTTTTGCAAGGAATCCTGTCTGCATTAACCACACGTACTTGTGGTGAACTTGTAAGCAAAACATGCTCTGATAATATTTGGCATTGTCTTGGAAACTGATTGGCCTACACCAGAGACAGCAGCCTTCTTTATGGCCTAGTCTCACCAGTGTCAGACCCCAGAACGGCAAAAGGCGAACAGCACAAAGCCAATGCACGTATCAGAGCAATTATAACTCGGGGGGGGGGGGGGGGGGAGCAGCTATGTCACGTGACCTTTTGTTGCCAGTCTCACAGTATGAAAAATAAGAGCAGGTATATTGCCAGGGTTTAACCGCGCGTACTTGAGCAGGCGCGGCTCGCAGTCGACGCCGGGCAGGAAGAGTCGCGCCGCTTGCCGCACGTCGTCGCTGTCCACCGTGAGGCCTCGCCGGTGGGCCGCGTGGGCCATTGCCACGCGCATCCACTCCATCAGCGGGGGCCGCAGCACGAACGGCCTGGGGGGGACACGCGCGGCGGCCGTCAGGAAAAGAAACACCTGGCCTCACCCGCCGACAAAAAAAATACTAATTTCCCGCGTATCATTTTGTGTGGATTTGTATCGAGCGGCCCCAATTCCGAGGGGCCGCTCGACAAGCAATTATGGAATTTGTACGTGGGGTGATAGTGATCGAGATGAGTGGGGTTGGTATTATTATTCAAAGTGGTGGTGGAGTTATGGTGACAGGAGAACAGGTGGGAGTGGATAAGGAGGGGTTGGGGTAGGAGTCGTGATAGAGGTTGGGGTCGTGATAGGGGTTGGGGTAGTGATAGGGGTAGTGATAGGGATAGTGATAGGGGTAGTGATAGGGGTTGGGGTAGTGATAGGGGTTGGGGTAGTGATAGGGGTTGGGGTAGGCCTGGTCGTAGCTAGGGGGCAGGGAGTAGCGGTAGCAGGATGGGTTTAGGAACTATCGTAGGTGATTGTAGCGAGGTTTTTTTTTGGTCTTAATTGGACCTGCCACTAGAGGTCCCCCTCTCAGCCATCAGCGCCTGATATTGTCCACCGACCGCGCTGTTTGCTAAACTACAACTCAAACGTATCATGAGCATCGTCGTGGAGAATTCAAATAACAAAGTAAATAAGCACACGATATGTCTCCACACATTCCGTCTCTCGGTGTAAACAAAACGAAAGCATTTCTTACACACACCCATCAGCCGCTCGGCCTTCTGGGAGTCCATTTCAGCAGCATTGTGTCAAGACAAGCAAACTCTGGACCGGTTCATATTCTTTGGGTCTTCGGTAAAGTCACGTAGATAGAACAATAAAATAATAAAAATAAGAATGAAAGTAAAGTGAATACAATTTTATTATTTTTTATTCACTTTATTTTCATTTTATTATTTAAAAAAATGCTTAATTATAAAATTATATTCTTTTTCATTCACATTATTTTCATTTTTATTATTTTATTGTTCTATCTACGTGAATTTACCGAAAGACCCAAAGAATATGAATTCCTGCAGTCACGAAAGCTTTAAGTCAAGATCTGGACCGGTTATTTCACATACAGTTTCTCATCAGCAGATTCAGGCTTGTTGAATCAATCACTGTTAATCTGGCTGGCTCTGACTAGAATAGTTTGCTTTCAGGAATTGTATTATCCATGTTATCACTGTAGTTATGACCATGAACACAATCAGCATTATCACTGCAGTATCAGGGCTATCAGGCACCGTCGTTAACAACGCTGGACTCCTACCGCACAAAACCGCGAGTAGAAATCTGGGCCAAGGTTTCACCCAGCCTGTCAATCCTTCTGGGGTGGATAAAACAAATGCTAGTTCGTCAGAGGTCAAACGTGGTCGTCCTGTGGTAAAACTGGGCCCCTTGCTATCGCAATGTCGTGTTTTTGACCACTGCTTCCGGACACCACTGGCTCGTAAAAGAGCCGAGGGACCGTGCCAATGAATGTTATCATTCACGCACTCATTGTTGATTTCAATCACGTATCTACTGCTGGATTAGGGCCTTATTCTTATTGTTTCGGCCATGAAGGTGTTTCGAGCCATACGTCACCAAGCTGGTCAGTGCGGGTCAGGTGACGGGAAGGGCCCAAGACCCAGGACTCAGATATCACTTGCACTCACTGATGTTGGCCATGACCAGAAATTTGATTCCCCAGATCGCAGTCTTCAGAGTGCAGCGCGCTAACCACCATGCCACCGCTGGGATTTGCGCGCATTTTGGTAATTCCGGACATAATATAAACAGTCTATTCGTAGGTTCTCAACAATGTCATTTGCATAGATATTCCAGAACTAAATCCGAACGGAGAATATTTATTTTATAAAGTGCCGCATGTTTGGTCGGATGAATTTACGTGCGTCTCTCTGTGCATACAGGGCCGTGTCATCCCATAACTTTTGATTGCCGGCCGCTGTCCCATCGTGTCTTGCACGTCACGTCGTCACGTGCGCGTGCACGCGTCGTTGCGCGCGCGTGCATCTCGGCCCCGTGGCCCGTGAGAACTTTTAAACTGCTCGCATCCATTGGGCAAGATGTGGTTCCAGAAAAATTAAAATGAAATGGAAATAGGAAAATAAACACAAGGTCCTAATGATTTACTGGAGGAGGAGGGAGGGGTGCTATTGTGGGGGGGGGGGGTAAGCGCAAGAAGCTGCTTGCCTTTAATAAGGCTGCCGTGTTTACGTAAGGGCGCGTACATCACAGCGGACGTATTCGGTAATAAAGATAAACAGAGCTGGGAGGGCCTCATTATCATCGCTTATCTCTTCCTCCCATCCCATTCACTGTGCGGCTCCCCGTTTCTCACAGCGCATGCAGCAGCTACTGGCAACAGCACCACTGCCCACCACCGCCCTCATATCACTGCTGCTGCCTGCTGCTGCTGCTACTACGAGTTACAGTATTCAGAATGCATTCTCGACCATACATGCACAGCCCCGTTGGCGAATCCGCTGCCTGGACGAGCACCGGCCCCAGCCTCGACTCACGAACGCGTCCCGAGTCAGTGCCCAGGTGTTTGTGAATTTTGTGAGGTGGGGGAGCATAGATGCGTACAGCACAACCACGGGCTTGGCCGCTCCTCCGCTCTCTGCTGGCTGACCAGCGCGTAGTCAGAACTCCCTCGGCTGGTGATGGTTCGTCGGTTAAGAGGAGTTGGACTCTTCGCTGTTGATTGGGAAGGATTGGGCGAGCAAGAGCGTTGATGCCAGAGGACAGCCACTTACTTTCCTTTCCACAAATGATATTGAGCCTGATCGAAATTCTTTTTCTTTGGTCTGTTTCGTCAATTTCTGTCGTACGTGTGTATGGTGAACTTCTTTCACACCGTGCGAAACTAACCATGTGGGGGGGGCGGGGGGGGGGGTAAGAACCAAACTAAATGTTTGTTACATATTAAACCTTGATCAAAATATTGTAACACCCTAAATATATTGTGTACAGTATTGAATTGGAAACAATACAATATACAATATTGTACAATATACAATATTGTGTATTGTATAATACACTATATTTCATATTGTAAAATATTGTGTATTATTCAATTTTGTGTATTGTACAATACACAATATTGCATATTGTACAATATTGCAATAGTCTACAATATTGTGTATTGTACAATGTTGTGTATTGCACTGTGTATTGTACAATATTGTGTATTGTACAATATACAACATTGAATTGTATCCTTACACAACAGCAAAATAAACGTCTCGACGTTCCCCAGGTCGCCCGTAGCGACGTTGTCGCTTCACGCTCTTCCGTGCCTCTCATCCCTCCTGCTGCTCGGACGAAGGACACCGACTGGGGGCCTGGAGGGCACCTGGGGGATGCTCCTCTCCCACCCCCCCGCCCCCCAGGGATTAACCCCACCCCCCCCGCCCCCCCCACTTTTCCGAGAGCTTTTACTGCCCTCGTGAACCTGATGGGCCATTTCCTGCATTAGAGGTAATTGTCAATGTTTACGCTTTGTTAATGCGCGAGATTTCCTGCTAAAATCCTGCCCCCCCCCCCTACCCCGGGCGGACTCCCACCGTGTCACGAGCCCAGCCCAGACCCCCACAACAACAATAACCTCAACAACGACAACAACAACAACGACGTCAACAACAACGACGACGACGTCGACCCTCTGTCACCGTTCTTTTGGACCGCTCGCATGCGTCGACCGAAGCACGCCGGCGAAATTTCAGTCCGTCGAACAACAACAACATAAAAAACAACATCAACAACAACAACAACATCAACGACAACAACATCAACAAACATCAACAACAAACAACATCAACGACAACAACATTAGCAACATCAACAACAATATCAACAAACAACATCAACAACAAACAACAACAACAAACATCAACAACAACATACATCAACGACAACGCGTCTCCACGTTGCGCCCCCCCCCCCCACCGTGACGTCTCGGCCCTCGGATGTCTTTGAATTTGGAGCGTGGCGCGCTAACCCTCACTCCTCGTCACTTCGTGGCCGGGTCACATACACACACCACACACACTGGTCACACACACCACACTGATCACACACATACACACACTGGTCACACACACCACACACACACCACACACACACACACCACACACACACACTGGTCACACACGCCACAAACACCACACACACACACCACACACACACACTGGTCACACACACACCACACACACACACTGGTCACACACCCACACACACACTGTTCACACACACCACACACACACTGTTCACACATGCACACACACACTGGTCACACACACATCCACACTGGTCACACACACACCACACACACACCACACACACACTGTTCACACACCCACACACACACACTGTTCACACACACCACACACACACTGGTCACACACACACCACACACACGCGCTGGTCACACACACACCACACACTGTTCACACACACACACTGGTCACACACACACACACTGTTCACACACCCACACACACTGGTCACACACACACCACACACACACACTGGTCACACACACACCACACACACATACTGTTCACAAACACACACACTGTTCAAATGCAACGCAGCTCCATCATCTTTACAAGGCGCACCCCTCCCACTCCCCCATCTGTGGCTCCGTCGCTCCGGTGCCGGGAGTGTCATCGTGGCTGTTTGTCGTGTGGGACAGCTGCCATTTACCATCCGCATGCTTTTAATGGCTGGGACATTTTACTGCGAACACAACTGTGATTTTTTTTTTTAGTCTAAAAGATATTGATTACTTTCAGTCCATTAATTGATTATATAAGTGCTGAAACTTCCCCCGTCCCTCTCTCTCTCGATATATATGCGTCTTATGGGAAGGCCTGTTAAATAAATGGAAGTGCCAAAAGGATACTTAACCGGATGGACCTAAACACATTTGGGGAATTGCGAAAGGTCATTGGAAGTCGCCATCGTCTGGACGTGAATGTCCCAATAGTGATGCAGAGTCATGACGACGATGATGATGCGCATGAGACACCCAACGGTTGGACGACGAGGTGGTTGCATGTGAGCGATAGTACAGCAAGTAGGTGTCCAATAAATCATCTGCGCAGTATCGTGGAGCCCGAGTGTCATCTCTCCCTTGCCCGCGTGGGGTTTCTCCAAGCGACTGGACTTCCTCCCGCGTAAACGTCAAACCAAAAGACGAACGTTACGAGCATCCAATCGTTCTGGTGAAGAATCCCACAAAGTCGGTGAGCGTCTGACAGCTCGGTTATTCTTGCGCGTGGAGGTGTGGTGAAGCAGTCGGCAGCAGACGGTGGCGATGAGCCCTACGGCCACCTGAGTTTGACTCCCGTCCGTGGCTATCATGCGGGGCGAGCGGTATCTGAAACCACTTCCTGGTCCCCACCGTCCCTGACCCGCGATCAATAATAAACGTTTGTCGATATTTCTCAATCTTGATTTAAAGCTTTCGTGACTGCATGGAATTCATATTCTTGGTTCTTTCGGTAAAGTCACGTAGAAGGGAAATAATAAAATAATATACATATAAAACAATAACAATTCTCACGACGTTTCGACTGCAACACAAGCAATCGTCATCAGGTGTGAAATCCACAGGGAATAAAATTTGCAAAAAAATAGTGTTGCAGTACGAAACGTCGTGAGAATTTTTATTGTTTTATATTTATATTATTTTATTATTTCCCTTCTACGTGACTTTACCGAAAGAACCAAGAATATATTTCTCAATCTGTATGCAAAAAAAACTCACTGGAATAAACACGCACACTTGTGAACGCCAGTAGACGTTTCTGTGCTCGATGTTTCTCTATGGATGTTTCAAGCGGGGGAGGGAAAGAGAGGGGTTGGCTTGCTCTGAATTGTGACTTTAACTGATTGAGCCGAAAGAGAATACAAACAAAAAACATCTATTACTGGGCATGGCATGACATTACGTTCACTTAAAGTCAACAACCACTGCCCTTTTCTCAAACGCTTCAGACCACTTGGATGCATATTGAAGCAGGAAATGTGTTTTCCTGCCTCATGTTGCTGTGTTTGTGAGTCTTGATTTGCATCAACTTGTACTGGGTGATTCTGGAGGTGGATGCTTATGAGAGGGAACTAAAGCAGCCTGACTTCATACGACGTTTAAATCCAAGTTGAAGCCACCCACAACTAACCTGGACTTTTCAAGTTTACAGTTTAGCGAGTACGGCCACCAATGATGGCACAAAAACATCTGAAAGATACAAATGACGGCCAATCTAAACTGCGTCACCAATTTCAATAGATGAGGTAGTGTGAACAGCTTAAGATCATGTGAATGAGGTCGACATTTCCAAAAAATAAATTACCTTTGATACAACAATTTTGCTTATCGGCGCTGACTGTCCGCTCAGCAGGATCACCATCAACCAGGTGACCAGCTCACTGATCGCAAGGCTGACCGAAATGAGAAAACTAAACACACGGTCATCGCAATCACCCAGAATGCATCTGGCCTCATCAGATCTCAGAAAGCAAGCAGTACTGAGCCTGGGTAGTGCTTAGTTGGGTGATCAGCATGCACAACCAGATTGTTGTATAGTTTGCGGGGCCACATGATGGGTGGCAGAGGGGAGTGCAGCAAAATCCATGACTGGACTGAACTTTAATGCTTGTGCATGTTATTCATCACGAGCTTGCACTGCCCAGCTTGGCGATGTCTAGCAAAACAACCCCTGCATGCATAACACAGGTCGTTAAACCCACCACCACCCAACACATCCAATCAGTAAGGTTTGTCACGTAAACAGAACGTGCCAATTCGTTACTAGAACAGCACACGGGTGTGTTGGAGAGCAAGCCACAACGTTTACAATCTGAGTACGACGTTTCGCCAGTAATTACAACCGGCATCATCAGGCGACAGCCAGATTTGGCTGCCGCCTGATGATTCTAACTGGCTGTGTCGGGTGGTGGCGGGTTTAACGACACATTTATACTTAAGCGAACTAACCCAAAAAAAACTCTATTATGGATGATATTGGTCGCGAATGCCTGCGTGTTAAACTAACCCCTGCATGATCCGTTTTGTATGTACGTTTAACTTCTGTCTGTATGTAGCCGACCGTGGTAAACGGAGGTGCGGTAAAACCGTCATCCAGCGGTTGATGTACAGAGAGACGTGAATAATGACTTGGGGCATTAGTAATTCTTCTCATGGAACGTTTAACAAGTTGCCTTAGTGTGGCCGTTTGAGCCACGTGTGTGTTTCCACTGAATCTTAAACAATACAAATACTTCTCAGTTTGGCTTCGTCAACTTACCGTGACCCACAGCGCTTGTGAAAATATTTTCTCTTCTTTTTTTTACATTTTAAAATAATTGCCGTTATTCACTCGCTCGCTCGCGCGCGCACTCACTCACTGGGATTCCAGCGCACACCACACACACCCCATGTGATCGGAGGGGCCCAGCGTGATATCAAGTGTGAATAAACCCCCAGGCATGTAACCACTGTTGTAGTGACCGCTCACAGCTCCCATTCGTCTTTATCATCGTTATTCAATCTTTGTCAAATTTAATTGTTTTCATCGTCCTCTTTCTCATCTACAATTGTTAACATTGGCGCTTGGATACTAATGATATAAGCCACTTTGTTGAGCTATCATTTGTGGCCAGGCCGCTTTTGAAATAGAACTATATAGCTCAGTGGGCCTTACCTAGTAAACTAAAAAAATTAAGATAAATAGTGAAAATAGTTACTAATTGTTATTCTAATAGTTGGTCAATGTTATGCCTGGCCCGTAGACAATTCACATGTTTTCACAAAAACTCCAAAATCCCTGATTCAATCATTATAAAGCTTAGCACGCAGCTTACCAATACCGTTGCCAACAATTACATTATTATTTGTGGGTAAGATTGGCTACAAAACAACTTGACAATAAACATTTCCCCCACTGCGTCACCACCGCCACCCTCACCCAAAAAATTCCAAAGTGGAACTTATATCTGCCTCGGACAAATTGTCAACCCAATCATCATCATCATCATATATGTATGTTGAACTTCTGTCGCACCGTATGTAGCCATCCGTGCTAATCGTCATCACAAGATGCCAGGGTAGTGGAGACACGCGCGCAAAACAAGCTTCTTACATAAGCGACTTTAAATGATTATTTGTAACTAATGTGACAGCGTGATGAGGATGGCCACAGTCGGAGGGGGTGGGGAGAGGTTTGAGGGGGAGTGGGTGTGGACGCGAGAATGTGGGCGGATGGGGTGGTGAACACGTACATTTATTAAACAGAACTAAAGATGCACGCCTTGATTTATGATTAAAAATATAAAGGCGTCGGCTTTAATCTTGCTGGCTACCAATAAACGCATCCTTACTTCACCATATCTTTGCGTGTGGTGATTTATTTGATTATTATTCAAGAAAACCTTGTTTACCAAGTCTCAACAATTTCAGGACAGATCTGCATTGCGACATTTGGCAAGGACACTCTTCACGCTGAAAGGGTCCACACACAATGGGTTCATGAACCCACTTGCTGTACTACCGTCTCATGGTCGTTTCGTAGGCCGGAAAATCTCCGCATGATGCAACCACTGTCACCTCGGGGTCAGAGACGAACGGGCTCGGTGGCAAAACCCTCGTGCAAATCTAACGTGCACTTCGCCTAGCGGTCTTGCCCAGGTGTTTCCTTTATCAACACACCAGCAGAGCGACGTGTGTTGAACTCCTCATAACATGACCTAGGAAAGGCCCAGGATCGATTGAGATCATCGTCACTGGTGTTGACCGTAAGCAGGAATAGACCTGCAGGACGCTAACCGCTGCGCCACCACTCACACACAAGATAAAGACAAAGGTGCCCCAAATAGCCTTAACATACTGTTGGGGCAAGTGCTGTTGGCTAGCGCCTATGAAGGCAAGAACGGCACACGAGGGAGTGAGTGGGTGGCCAGCACCACGCCCGGCCAGCTTCGCCTCGCCAGTGGCGATGTTTACACATCGCATCAGGTACTCATTTGCGGCGGAGTCGACCTAGGGGGGCCCAAGACCGATTCAGAAAATTGTCCCCGGGTGTTGACCATGAGTGCGAATCGAACTCGGCTTCCCAGGTTCGTAGCGCAGCGCGCTAACCGTTGCACTACCGCTGCCCCCTTACACACGCAACACGCACACACGTACACACATTACGCGCGCACACTCTCACACACACACACACACTGCCCCCCCCCCAACTCCTCCCTCTCCCCCGCACCCACCCCAGTCTTCCTCTCTGCGCTCACCTCTCATAGGTGAGGCTCAGCTTGGGCGGCTCCAGGTTGGGATCCTCGATGCATTCCATGCGCGGGCAGCGCATGAAGTAGTAGAGCGCGTGCAGCGAGTCCCAGCCCCAGGCCGCCTGCGTTGGGGCATTCGCGTGGGCTGCCCGCGAAGGGCTGACACCGACGCTAGAGCTGCCGCCGCCGCCACCGCCAAATCTCGCCAAGTGATGCATGGCGCGAGAGACCAGGTCTCCTGGTGGGGGTCCAGGACAGACGATGCGACGCACGTTACTTGGGTGGGGGGGGGGTCATGAGGATGTCGAATGATACCAACGGGCACAGAGTCAACCCCCCCCTGAGAACCGGCTTCGAACGGCGAGAATTGTTTTAGGGGGTTTTGTTTTCTGCTGCCGTGCGGCTCACCCGACGTGTTTTTTCGGGTCGTCACACGTGTGGCGCGCACAACGGGTTCAGGGTTTTTATAGCGCGTGCGCTGTGTGGTCACAAGCGCAGCGTGAAAATGCGTCATCGATCACTGCCTGCGCCGAGTTGCGCAGGGTGCTGCACGTGGACCGATTCTGAACGGCAAAAGCTGTTGTCGCCGACAAATTTAGCTTCCAAGAGGCACGACCAGATGCGTCGAGATACCGTGAAACCTTGGGGTGGCTGTCGTGGTGTGAAGGTCGCCGCTGCTAAAACTTGCAATCCAGAGGTCGCAGGTCCGATTTGATCTCATGGAGCGCTGGTTGAAACAATGGGGCCAGGTTTTTTAAACCTCCCCCTTCCAGCAGTGTCAATGGGTGCACCACAATTAGTTAGTCCATCGGTAGGTCACGTGTGGTGGGGTAAAGAGTAGGTAATCCCACCGCTTAGAAAACGTCAGAGCAGTGTGGGAAAAGAAGGCCAAAAAACCTCTCAGAAGGGCTCACACCCACAAGTAGAGGCCCTTTGTCCAGCGGTAGTGTGAGTAAGCAATTACAGGTCTGCACCTTTGCCTATTACCGCCATCCTGTACGGAGAATTGTATGTAAAGCAGCATCTCACAGCGAAAGGAAACTGCGCGCCAAGTCGACAAGATCGTGACTCGTTCTTTCAAAGGCCTTCCACTGGTTGCCAATTGGTCATTGCAGCAACATCGAATTGCTTCCCACACATTGCAAGTGTCACAATCACTGGCAGAGGAGGGCATGACAAAAGTAATCACTATTTATACGTCAAGCAGAACACTGGATCCTGGAAAACGACCTCAGCTTAAATGCAGACAGAAACAACACACAATGGCTCCCACACGAAGCCTGATAGACACTCGAGGGCAAGAGCTGTGTGAATGGCCAAGGCCATTCCATAAGCAGCGGCGTTTGAAGCTATTCAGTGCTTTGTATTGAATACAGATACTAGTATATGCTTTGCTTTGAATCGCGAGGAGGAGACGGTGGCTATGAGCGGGACACGTGTGCAGGATGGGGGGTGGGCAGGATGCTAAGATGGGCATTCGAGTGGCGCCCAGAGGTGAGTGACCAAGAGGAAGACCACGAGAGCAGACGGTGGGATTCTCTAATCGTGGTGCTCGGAGGTCAGGTTTTGTACATTTATTTTTATTTGAATGTGTCACGAGGCGACGTGCCATTCCAAAAACCACGCCGCGTTCGCGGAGCCTCGTGCCGCGTCGCTGACAAGCTCCAGAGAGACGACGCTGCAGAAGTTACATCTGGGGAAAGTCCAAGAGCCTTCACCCTCTTTCAGCCGACGGGAGATTATTGGGTTGAAAAGTGGTAGTGCCTCAAAGGGGCAGCAGCATGGGTCATGAGAACTACTGTGGGTGACGACAGACTACGTACATGACTCGAATATTACCAAAAAAAATTCTTCACGTTTATAATATTTAGGGAGCATAGGAATTGATTATAATCGACGGTGCACCATTGCACCGCCGATGCATATTATCAAGGCGACACACCCGATGGGATATCGCAACATGGAATCGGCGTCGTTTACGTTTCGCTTGGCGATGGTTGCTCAACCCCGAGCCCGGCACACGACTGCTCGCTGAGGCTTGGTTTGGGGGAAGGCGCCCCCCTCCCCCCGCCCCCCATCCTCGCGAGACTCACCGAGCTCGGCGACGCTGCCCACGTAGGTGGCGAGTAACGACTGGTCCAGCGTGCGCAGCTCCGCAGCGCCGTACGGCTCCACGGACATCGTCCCACCGGCGCCGCCTCCTCCAGCCATCGATGCCGCCCGCTCTTCGAACGCGCTGAAGTGCAGCGGCAGTGACAGCACACCTAGACGGAGGCAAGGGTGGGGGGGGGGGGAGCACGGTTATGACCTTGCAGACACGTGCAGGAAAAGTGTGACCAAGCAGGCGTTGAAACTCTCGTTTTGAACTCTCGTTTTGAAGTGTCGTTATACCGGCGGGAGAGCGGGTGGCTCGCCATCGGAAGGTAGCAGAGTTCAAGTTCTGGTTGAGGTTTGACTTGGCCCATCATCCCTTCGGGGTCGATAAAATAGCTAACCACTTTGTGTGGAAATCAATGGAGGTTATCCTGCCCGAGACTCGTCCCCACCGTAGGAATGTGGAATCTTCACGACTGGCTGTAAACGGAGAGGGATGAGCACCGCCTCAGTGCTCATTGGAGCAAGAAATCGCTTTTGTTTGCGAAACTAACGCACTCCACCATAGACGCCACGCGCTAGGCACGGTCAGCGCGCCGCACATGGCAAAACGTATCGGTAAGATTTTATTAAATAACGGGAGTCGCTCCAGGTCAGCTCCGTACACTAGAAGAAAAAAATGAACACGTTTCAAAAAAATACATTGAAAAAAGCCAGAAAAACTGCCCATTTAAAGAACGTCAAATTAACGACTGGAATACAAAAGCGCGGGATGACATGAACTTCTTTGTAAGATATGCGTGTGCGAGCCCCCATGTGACTGCCCCACTCGATCGTCCCTCCGTGCTCATCGGCGGCCCGAGTCAAGTCTTTTTTGTTCGACGCCGCGACGACGTGATCGCTCGGAGCACTCGGACAGATTGAAATCTTAAAAAGTTACACACTGAGCTTTATTTTGCTCCTTTATTATTCAGCCTCACTTCCGCTGGGATCGGGAGCTCTCTTGTGTGTTAGTCCTAACGCTGCTCGCTCGGTGCTGTGTTTTTAGGCATATTTGTCATAATGTTCATGACATCAAAGCCGACACAATACGCAAGAGACTGGTGTACACACACACACACCACACGCACACTTACCACACACACCACACGCACACCTACCACACACACCATACACCCACCAGACACCCACCTAAACCACACATACCCACCTACCATCATACAGACGCACCCATCACACACACAACAAATACAAAGATTCCCCATATAGCCTTCAGAGATTGTTGGAGCAAGTGCTGTTAGCGAGCACCTATGAATGCTGGGACGGCACACGAGGGGGTGGGTGTCCAGCAACATGCCTGGCCGCTTTTCTCTCCCCAGTGGCGAGGTTTACACACTGCATGAGGTACTCATTTGAGGCTGAGTCGACCGAGCGGAGGCCCAGGGCTGGTTTAAATAATCGTCACCGGCGTTGGCCGAGAGCGGGAATTGAACTCGGATTGCTGAGTTCGTAGAGCAGCGCGCTAACCACTGCAACACACACACACACTTACTACACACACACTCACCACACGCACACCTACCACACACACACCAAACACACACACCCTCACTACACACACCCAACCAGATTTGCTTGCAAACCCAGCGCCGCTGGCTATGACCAGGTGCTCATTTTAAATGTAAGCTGAACTCGCAGAATCATCGGCTAGGCTCTGATACCAAATGAAATTCTTTTCAAATGCAAACGAAACCTAAGGGACTGCGTTAGCAGTGGCCTATTGATGCTAAACACAGGCAGATCCATTTATAGGCACCCAACTTGAACAAACGTGGAAATATTACAAGGAAAATAATATTATCTTTCAAATCCTCTGCCTATCTCCTCCCGCCAGTCTCAGTAAGGAGGGGGTCAATCTTGATTTGAAGCTTTCGGTAAAGTCACGTAGTAGAGTAAGGAGGGGGTCATCGGATATCAGTGGGGTATCTATAAATGGTTCACCCTACACACCACCGTACACATGGAAACACACACGAATGCTTAGGACACAAGGGCCATTGCGCTTCTTCAGAAGGAGCAATACCTAAACACGTGGAGTTGTCCCAACCTCTCCACTTTCCAGGTTGCCTGGGATATAAATGCAACATTAGCCGCGGCGCACAAAATATGTCACGGTGCAAAACGCACTGGCAAAAACAGAAACCGTGCGCGCGCAAAATCCACGTGCGCATCTGGACGGGGTGCGCACGTGCTTCGCGCATAAACAGAAACACATGGACACACGTGCACACACTTACACCTGAAACGCGAAACAATCCGCGCGGTGTCAGAGCAAAGCGCCGGCGCAGATGTGCGCCGCGCACGCGAAGAACGTGCCCCCACGCGTCCAGGCGCCCAGCTCCTGCTACCACCACCACGAAGCGCAGTCACGGGCGCTCACGCGAAGCCAAGGGACGGGGCAGAACCTCGCCCAAGACGAAGATCCCCCCGTGTAGCCTCGACAGACGGTTGGGGCAAGCGCTGAAGGGCGGCACGGCACACGATGGGGGTGGGGTGGCCAACACCACGCCCGGCCGCCTTTGTCTCCCTCGTGGCGATGTTTACACAGCACCGGGGGCACTCATTTGAGGCTGAGTTGACCTAGGGGAGGCCCCAGGACCTATTCAGATAATCGTCACTGGGAATTGATCTCAGGTCTCCGGGTTCGTAGGGCAGCACGCTAACCGCTACGCTACCGCTCCCCGCCCACACACACACACACGCCTGTGCATGCACCGACACACATGCCCGCACGCACGCGTACACAGGAGAAAGCAGGAAATAGCAGGAAGTAATCAGAGCAGGCAGTGCGAGTTGTGGGTACGTGTGTGTGTGTGTGTGTGAATGGCGAATGTACACATGCACATGTGTTTGCTGTGCAATATGCATTCATGCAGGTACGCGAGCCGTCTGGGATATAATGATGCATGTGTGTTTGGACGTGCAGGTGTGTGGTCATGTTGATGTGCGTGTGTGCGGGGAGCGGTGGTGTCACGGTTCGCGCGCTGCGCTGCGAATCCGGCAGCCCAAGTTCGATTCCCGCTCAAGGCCAACACCAGTGACCATTATCTGAATCGGTCCTGGGCTTCCCCTAGGTCGACTCAGCCTCAAATGAGTACCTGGTGCGTTGTGTAAAAACATCGCCACTGGGGAGACAAAGGCAGTCGGGCGTGGTGTTGATTCACCAACCCTGTCTCGTGTGCCGTCCCGGCCTTTATAGGTGATCGCTAACAGCACTTGCCCCAACAGTAGTTTAAAGCTATACGGGGGATCTTTGTCTTTGTGTAGGTACTTGAGTTCAAATTATATTTAAAACATTGGGAATTAATTGACAGTAGGACTACACGTACGGATATAAATATTTCTTTTTTAAAACGTCGCAAGTTGATTATCGACAGCGCTGCATAAAGAAAAATACAACACACGGGTTGACTGCTAATACACAGGTCACTGGAAGGGTTGAAGGCCGATATGAATGATGGAGTGGCAGCAAGAGTATTCAAAGTCACAGTAAATCAGAAACCTCCTTGGTCTTTTACTGACATACGTAGGTGCGTTATGCATTGTATGGGCTCAATAAAAGCATTCGTTCTAACAATTTATCCTGTTAAATTGGCAGGATATATGTTTCCACACCTATGCACACACGTGCGGATGAATACAGTTACCAATTACAACCTGGCTAGAAAAGGATCTTTGTCTCTTTCTGCGCATGCGTGTGTGCGCGCGTCCACGCGTGTACGGCTGTCTGCGAATTGTATATAAACCCCTGCCAAGTCAGCCAAGATTTCCGAGGTCGCTCCGTTTGGAAACATTTTGTAGAGTGGGGGGCGGCGGGGGGAGAAGGGGGTGGGTGTGAATGTCAATCAAACGGGGTATGACCCTGGGGCCGGTTAATGCGGGTTGACAGCGAAGCCTGGGACGAAATGCAGACCGTTCGCTCGCTGTGTCGGAATAAGTGCACGGAGGTGCGCCGCGTGCGTTTGTGGCTGTGGCCGTGAGCGTGTAGGCACAGACATCCGAGTGGGGCGCCGGCGAGGATGTTAACTCCCTCTCCTGGTTGGTATACAGGAGGAGGTCGTGGGTTCGATCCCGACCCTGGCGCCTGCTGTAGATTTGGAGTTTGCGTCTCTCTCTCCCCATGGTTGCGTTGATTTATTTTCTCCGGGTCCTCCAGGTTTTTCTCTTCACATTTAGAAAACATGCGTTTCGAGTGTTTGGCTGCTATAAATTCCCACGTGATAAGCCACTTCGTTGAACCCCCAGGCATGTAACCACTGTTGTAGAGACCAGCTCACCGTTAGTCAAAATTCATTGTTTTTATCATCAACTTTCTCGTCTACAATTGCTAAGGGTTGCGCTTGGATACAAATGATTTATAAAAGTAGTTGGCTGCTATAAATCTCCACCTGATAAGCCACTTCGTGGAGCTATCATTTGTGGCCAGGTCACTTCTCAAAAAGATCCACACAGCTCAGTAGGCTTTACCTGGTAAAATATAAATAGTTTAGTTTAAATCAGCGGCATGTGTCACTATCCGGCTATGATTGTGTGTGTTACCCTTGCGCAAATAATTAATTTTAGGCAACAACCGTGGAGAACCCGTCGCTCCGCGATAAAAAATTTGAGACATCCATCATTTTCATACTCTTCTCACAATCCTGTACTTGGAGCGCTAAAAAGTAATCCGCTTTTTTTACGGAATAATAAAATGCCAAGACAATATAGATTGTGAAGTGGTTTTTTTATATTCTCTGGGATTTTATGAATATTCTGGTGAAATAAAATTGCATTTAAAGGAACAATGGAAAAGTTTGCGCAGTTTTAAACGAACCTGTGTCAGTCTTCTTCTGCAGCCGTTACTCCTAACCTCTTCGGTGTCACTATTTATCATTATACATATTAGAAACTTCTTCGCCTCCAATAAAAACCCGGCGACCTGAGCTCGACTCCCACTTACGGCCAACACGAGCGACGAATATCTGAACCGGTCCTCGGCCTCCCCTAGCTCGACTCAGCCTTAAATGAGTACTTGGTGCGGTGCGGTGTGGTGTCTAAACATCGGCACTGGGGGGGCAGACAAAAGGTGGCCACCCCGCCCCCTTCGCGTCCAACGTCGGCCTCAATACGT